AGGTTACCATTTGGGGAATTTTCTTTGCCAGTGACACCGTCCCCGTTTTAAGAGGCTGAAGCTTATTCCGGCTCCACTAAAACCCTGACAAGCGGTGGGGCTGATTTCAGTAGGAGCAGAACCGGTTGTGACACTCGTTTCCCTAACGCTGCCTGAGCGCACGGGGAGCGCAGCCCCGCTCGGAAGGGTGCTGAGCACTTCTGAACCCCGCCGTGTGTTTGAAACCCTGGCTCTGCCATTCTCTCCTACACTCAAGGGCGTTTTGATTCTCTGCCGCCGTATTACAGGAGTGGTTACTTTGAGTTATTTCGTTCCTATAATTGTTATTAAAAGTAGGACTTTAAGAAGCAGCGTTCAGATTTTCACATTCATTTGCAACGGTGCAGCTTACTTGAATGAGCGTTTATGGGAGGTTAGGCAAAGAGGATTTGGCACTCTATTTTTAACATTTAAATAAAGCAAATCAATTACCATATCGCAAAAAGGAGCTATTGGTTAGTGACATTTATGTAGATTTTCTGTAGCACGTAAAAGTGGCCTTTATTTTTCTAAGTGATATTTTCTGCTTAGAGTCAAATTCTTTTCATGCAGCTTACAAAAATAAATACTTGTATTTTGCTAAGATCATAATAGCTCATTAGAAGAGGCTGAATTTGGACCTAGACTAAAACCTAACACCACAGGGCTGAGCATGCTTACTTGAACCTATAATGTTGCTAGTTCTCGCTCTCTGGGGAAGGAGAGGACTAGGGGAGCGGATTCAGCCTTCTTAATTGTGAACCTCATTAGTGACGGTTGCTAGGCAAAACACACACCTACTTTCAGTGCATATGAAAGAGATAAACAATACGTCATAGACCATAATGACTCTGGTGCTCAGGGCGACCTTTAATTATTATATTTTTGTTCTCTTATACCTTAGTTATTAATGCAGAAAAACAAATTAGTTTTGTGTGTGTGGACTGCAGCAGATTTGTAAATCGCTTTCCATTTTTTGATGTCTAGATCGTATTTCCTTCTGATAATTGTTGCTTGCCTCATTCATTTCTCTGTGTGCCCATTGGTAAATACTATTTGAAACGTAAAATGACAATGATTGTATTAGCAGCTTAGTATTCTGTTATTACTTTAATTAATTGTATTAGTGTAAAAAGCCATGATCCTGTCAATATGTTAGTAACAACTCGCAAGAGGAGTCCGATGGAAACTGATGTGCGTGGCCCGGCCACGCAGCCGTAGGTGGAGTCGCTGTGGGTTTGAGAATTCTAACTCTCTAAGAACTGAAGGTGTGTTTGACCTCTATGCATTTCATTTTTGGTCAGCCCTCAAGTCATCAGGCAGTTGGATGAGACGGTCATTGTAGGTCCTTGCCAAATGAAGATATTCTATCCTTATTCTTATTCTTATTCTTATTCTTATTCTTATTCTTATTCTTTCATTAAAAAACAGGTTACCTGAGAGCTGGTTTATATGTTTATGTTGGTGTATTTTACAATGCGAACAGAGTGATATTTAAATCTAAATTACTATTTTGGGCTTTGTGGGAGAATAAATACATGTGTGCGTGTGTACAAGCGCAGCTGGAATTGTGTGCCAGTGATTCGGAGGCTGATGGGCTCCAGAAAGATAGTATTTCACAATTCGGGATTTTCAGAGACACTTTCCATTCTCCTCTTCATCTCAGACTATCTTCTTTTAGCAGTTCAGGCAAGAAGTCAATCACATTGAGTCAGTCTGAAGAAAAACATTTTATGCTGTTTTTCTCATACAAACCCCCTCCTGCCGTAATCTGCAGTAAGGCCCAGCCACAGGAAATTGACCTCACAGTAAATTCTTTACAGATTCGGTCATGTTTTTACCATCCACTTAAACTTGCATACATAACCTGAGACTGTACCTCGGGATCAAGGAATATGACAAGCCAAAATAAAATCAAGTCAAATTAAATAGCAAGAAAAAGCTGCAAGCAAAACAAGATTGGGAAAAAAAAAAAAAAAAGAAAAAAAAAGAAAAAGATGAAAAATTGGTTGTGACTGCAAAACTGTAAGTATTAAATAAAGAAAGAAGTCAGAAGCAAATTCAGAAGCGCCTGTATTCTAGTTGACAAGGGCTGAGAAATACTAATGGACTCTTTTAATGGGTGGTTTGATGGATGAGAGAAGAAATTATGTAAAAGTAAATGTAGTAGTGTATCAACATAAAGTATGGTGGGAGAAAAAAAAAAAAAAAAAGCATTGCAAATAAAAAAAGACATGTAAATGTGTGCCTACCATTTTCCAGATAAGAAGGGGCCGTACCTTCTGAGGGGTCAAGGCGGCGAGCCCGCCTCCCGTGTTTGGAATTGTTGTGTACAAACATGTTGTCTGAGACAGCCAGCACGTGGCCATCCACATTGACTGTTGTTGATACAACAACCTGAAAAAGAAAACAAAACCCAAAAGTTAACAAATCCTGCATGTTTTCACAAACGCAGATACAGAATCAGATCTTCTTTTAAGACAAAACGACATCACAGCCTGTTACTTTTCGCTTTAAACCAAGTGAATGACAACTCTGAATACATCTTTGTTGATGTGGCTAACACTGGTGATTTTTAACTCACAATTGTTTCTCTTCAGAACCTGCTACACTAATTAGAGTTTAATCTCCTATTATGCTAACAAATGAATTCAATTCAGGGAAATATTCTTCTAGCCATTAGTTTCAGAAACACCCCTCTAGCCACTCATTTTAAAAGCTGCTGTTTTGATTGATCTGTTGATATATTGATTAGATAGTTTATCTAATTAAAATTTGTTCACTTGAGACTGTCTTCAAATGAAGGGTTGTGAGGATTCCAAATAAAAAAAGCTTAATAAATCAGGAACCGTCGTAACTCCCCATTTTTTCTTCAGTAAATGATCTCCAGGTCAGTTTTACAATTACATTTAATGTCTGATAATGAACTTTTTTGCATCTGAAAAGACCGAGTTGAATATGAATAGTGAAAGTGTTTTCAATCCATGAAAAGTATCCCTTCTCAAGTTCATTTGGATGGTGATTGACCCTGGTATGTCAATGGAATTTCCTCCTTTATTTTTGAGTGAAAGGCTCCTATTCTTGTGTCCAGGTTCAGAGTCCGGCCATAGAAGAGATGATGGATAGGGCCTTCTTTGGCTTCCAGCTGCTTCTCAGTAGAAAATGGAAAAGGAACATATGCAAAACGCGCAACCTTCCCGATAAAAACACCTACACAATGGAGTTGTGAAACTCCTTCCGGAAACCATATCGCATGAACACAAGCCAAAGAGGAAACCCTGAGATGCGCCTGGGTTTGTGTGGAACACGGCTTCATAGGTCGATCGCTATTATCCCAGATCGACATTTACATCTTATTTAAATACTCCGGCATGGGCCCTGTGGTGTGGGTTCCAGATTTTCTACACGAAGCAATCACCGCAGCATTTTCTCTGGGGTTTAACGTTAGTAGAGTCCTTAAAGTCAATGGCTAAGTTAGGCCTTATCAACCACACGGGTGACGGCGGCAACAGCTGGGACAAATTTCAGCTTTCATCTTCCGTGTAGTTTACTTTAGGATATAACAAAAATGATTGCCACAACAGCTCCTTTACCCAAACACGTAATGAACAAAAATGGAAGGGGGAAAACCAGCCTCCTTCTGCACAGAGCCGGTCTGAGGCATCAGAAGAAAATTCTTGTCTGCTTCTATGTTTTGGATCACCTCTGATCCTGTTTCTTATTCACAACCCATAATTAGCTTTCAGCTATCACAGCACCTTTTCTGTGTATCCTGCCTCCTTTGAGACAGCCATCTGCGGTACCCTTTAGAACAGCCCGAGGGCAGTTCTCTGCCAGGCTGCTCTGCTTCCCTATCTTTGTCCTCCCAGAAGTGGACACTTTCCCTCTTGTCAACATCCACTTTGGAGAGTGCTGAGGTTGCACACTCACCTGGGCCGCAGAGCTGCTGCCAGGCCACTGGGCTATCTGTTTTCACTTTTAAGGAGATTCGCAGACTTTAGGAAATATTGCAAAACATACAAGTGCAATTTTCAGCAAAGGTTTCTGGATTTGGTTCTTGAACACGGCATATTAAAAAAGACAGAGAAAGGTGTATATAAAAATGACAACTATTTTTGTTCTGTCATGTATATATAGGTCAGTCACCAAGGGAAAATACTGTAGTTCAGCAAAAGAAAGCAGACATGCTATGCTTTGTTATATTGGCTTATTCCTGCAGTGCACCTAAAGAAAGGTGCTGAGACAGTGAAACCAGTTAAAAATATTGTTGAAGATCTGACATACTCTTAAGTCCAGTTAAACCTTCTGAGAGGCAGGGAGATTAGCTAAAGAGACCCAGGAAAGTCTTTCTAGTGCCTACTGGCTCCATTGTCGACCACAAGATCACTCATGACTGATGCTTCATTTAGTCATCGGTGAGACAAAGAGGACATTTCCACTCATTCCAGGTTTGACCTTCTGTTCTGTTCAGATGGATCAATATCACCAATGCCACGTGAAGCTGAGATGCATGAAAAATGGAAGCTTGGCTCAATTGTTTTGAAGAAATAATTTTTCCAGCTACAGATCTTTTCTGTTGGCTGGCTCAAGGGTGCTGGCTTCACCGGTTGGTTGGCTGTGCATGAAAACAGATGTCACATGTTTTGCTATCAAGTTTAACCACAAGTTACTCTTCTCAAAAATAAGAAAGTTTTGAACATCTCAATACTAGTTTATTATTAGTCTCAAATATGAATCATGGTGACATATTTTGAAATAAAAAGCATTTATTTCCTAACAAGCATTTCAAATGACCCCAAATACGGAGGCAATCATTTGTCCATCACGTCAGTTGTCTCTCTGTAGTGTTATGATTCACCACAGGATATTTCAAAAGCTGTAAGAAGAAAGTGAAGTATTAAACATTTTCTAACACAACTGGAATAAATGCATGTGGGTTGGACCACCATTGCTGGATTTACAAGTTGTGAGTATGAAAATCCCCGGCGTGAGATCCGAACTTCACTGGGCTCCACAGTCGTGCCTGTTAGTAAGATTATGCTACTTGGTCTACACATGTACAACCTCTGAAGGTCTGAGCACACGCCACGCTACAACGCGAGGTGTTAGTACAAAGGAAAACTCTGGAGACACCCACTCGCTTCAGCACTGATCCACTACATTCCGCTGCAGAACTCCGCGAGTCCCAACAACCAGCATTCGAATTAGTGGCAGAAATGTAAAATGCCAACAGTGGTTTTTTAAAGGCACACAGCATTGGAACGACACTAAGTAGAAGCACTGATGCCGGTTTTTCATAAAAAAAGTTCAAGATGAAGATGTGAGTAAGTCTTTTATATATCGTTTATTCTTTAAGAGGGATCTGTACCTGGAATCTTCGCATGTCTCGCGGGTTGCCTGCATTCTTCAAACAGTTCTGATTGCACTTGAGGAAAAACTTTAGAAAGAATCTATAAAAATACAAAATTGAAATCTATTAGATTCATCAAAATGTAAATCCAATTTTAAAAAACTTTAATAAAATTTAATCATAAATAGTTATACCCAAAAGAATACTGGTGGTGAAATATTACTTTCCTATTAGTTAATGAACTTATTTTAAAGCATAAGATCTCTGTCGTAAACAGAACATTATTGCCAGGGAAAGGCAAATTTATATTTTTAATTTTTCAACAACTACAAATGTATTGACTCCAGGCCATATCCTTAGCTTGGTGTGGGAAAGTTGATTTCAATGACTCATTGACTTCAAAGGCAATGACTTACACCAGATGAGAATTTGTCTCTATTTTTTTAATACATTTTATTTTTTCACAATTTATATTAGCAGTAATGACCTCTGCATCGAAAAATTCCAAGGTAATGAATGATCAATCTTCTGAAAAACACTTGGCTTTGCCTCCGGTTTGGAAACTCTTGCTATTCAAAGGGACTCGATCCAACTCCTGCTGACTCCAGGGAGATCCAGGCGGGATCTGCCCACTGGCAAGGCCCCGGTTCCCTCATTGTTTTTGAAAGGAAAGGAACATGGCAAATTAGGCCCTGTCGTACGACCTCTTCAACCTTTGCCAGCCTTTAACTGTAAGGAGTCACTCTACCCGGGGATGGAAATCCAGCTTATTTTTGCTGAGTGGCAACCAGCAATTATTTAGGACTAACCCTTATCATCCAGGCATCTCCCAATAACCGTTTTTGTAGCAGCGCTGCATCTCAGGAACACAGCTAGCGCTTACGGGGCGGGAAAAGCTTGGAAAGGAGCAGCCTCCCTTATGCTGCTCTCCTGGGGAACGGGCTGGGATGGGATGTCCCCACCCTCCAGGCTGTGCAAGGAGGGGGGACCCTCACCGTCCTGCCCTCGTGCAGGAGGATGTTCACAGCCTAACGCCACCTCTTTTCTTTATGTAGCTACGTTTTCATGTTTCATAATTAAAAAAATGTTCTATGGGTCTGGTTTGCAGCTAACGACTGACAGCTAATGACAAGCAAGGCTCAGGACTTTCTCCTCACAGCTTCTCAGACGCACCAGTCCAGCAGCTTGTGCTGCCCAACTTCGTACATGTTGAATAGCGAGGTTAGGCGGAGCTTTTACGTTTCCAGTATGAACAACTATTGTTTATTCATTATTCATTCACCTCACAGAAGTTTCCATGTGCCAACAGCATTCCTGGCAGGAGGCAAGCCAGGCACCTCTTCCCTTCTTCAGCACCCAACATGGTCCACCCCCAGCCGACAGAAAGTACAACTGCGTCTGCACTGCATCGAGCTCGCTCCTGTGGAGCTTTGAGGGTCAGACAGGAGCATTATGGGAGTATCCTCACATCACAAACTGGGGCTTTTAATCACCTGTCTTCCTTTTCAGTTAAACCTTGAGCAGGACCCTAATATTAATACGGGATGCTAATGCTGAAGGAGCAATCTTTCATAGCAGAGAGGCAAGGAGGGAAACGACTAGATTTACTAAAACTGTGCATAAATGAATCAATGCTGTAAGTTCAGCTCAATGCACGTTTCTTTAAAACTTCCTACCCCAAAATGTGCAAAGGGGTTTTAGCTGTCAAGCTGAAAAAGAGCGGAATTTCTGTGGTGGTTGGTGTGATCTCCGAGCTTAGATGCTCACTTGAACTCAGGTTTTCTGGACACTGTTGCAGGGACGCTACCAGCGAGTCCCCTAAACTGCATCTTTGATAGCCACACCCTCAGCCTAATTTTATCTGCCTTGGTTTTCTGGGGTTTTTTTAAGATACTTATGACCTCCGGATCAACTGAGTATAGCCTAAGCATAACAAAAAAAACCTTTTGTACCTCTATTCTTTTTTGCGCACCTTCCACCGCACAGACTGCGATGGTGTGCGAGGACCAGCTGATGCCCACGTCAGCACGGGACCACCAGGCGCTGCGGAGACAGGAGCTGGGGGGAGCCTCCAGCTTTACAGCTCCTTATTGCCACAGCCAGGCTGAAGAGGAGTATCTTATCTATTTTTTTTTTTTTCTGATCTCAAATGGGTGTTGTGAGGCTTATTGACTTCCACCGCACAGACTGCGATGGTGTGCGAGGACCAGCTGATGCCCACGTCAGCACGGGACCACCAGGCGCTGCGGAGACAGGAGCTGGGGGGAGCCTCCAGCTTTACAGCTCCTTATTGCCACAGCCAGGCTGAAGAGGAGTATCTTATCTATTTTTTTTTTTTTCTGATCTCAAATGGGTGTTGTGAGGCTTATTGAGCTAATGTTTGTAAATTGCTCTGAAATCCTCTGATGAATTGTGCACTAGGAATGCTAAGTATTGCTCCTCCTGGATTGTTTTTAACATGAAGCATTCGTGATGAATTGTTTCTATACAGAGAGCTCACATCCCGTCAAAAAAAAAGGGCCATTAAGCACTCTTTCACTAAACATCAACTGGAACTGCTATTTGTTCGATTATTCGGTGAAAAAGACCCACGCTTGGTGGAATTAGACATCTTCAAGTTTACCAGGATGAACCTGAGCTAAATATTGAAGCCACAAGGCTGGGGTGAACGCAAGTGGCACTTGTGTTTCAGCTCTGCTGCATCCCTTGATACTGAGATATTTCATTTTATGTTTTAATCTGTGTTTTCAGAGAGTTCATGGAGCACAGGTGGCATCAAGACAAGAGTTTCAGACGAAGGCAATACAAGTTAAAAACCATGTTCCCAGGCAGGGCATTTCTCAAAGTTTGCCAGAAGACTTGATCGCTCCCCTCAGCTGACCAGCAAGGACCACGGATGCCACGAACCCCTCCCTACCACAGAGAGAACAGGGCCAGACGCCTTCCCCGCGAGCCCTGTGCTCCCGAGACAAGATCACCACGACACAGTGAGACGCGAGGAGCTGGATCGGAGCTCGGTTTGGTCGTGTCTCAAACTTCGCTCCTATCACCAGAATGAGAATGCGAGTCTTTCTAGATTTGTCTCTCCCTGCTATATTTTGCATGATATGCACAAATGTAGTCTTTTTAATAAATACAGTCTTGCAGAACAGCCTTCCTAAACATACTAAGCTGTTCCTAAAATACCAATACAGAGAAAAATGCAGTCTTTGTGATGTTCCTCTGCTCTGATTTTTTCACGCTGCTAGAAAGGGGACTGCTACCATCTTAATTAAAATGTATTACCTACCACACGACTTCACTATTTTAAGATAAAATTTACATCTTTTATTAACTCACCTCACCTATACACTTAGCTCGCGATGCCTCTCAACGCCCATCTGCCATCCGCGTACAGTAAGTCACTTGATATTCCACCCACCAATTTTTCCTAACAACCACTGTGCAATTAAACTCAACACGTTCTGTTGCGAGGTAAATTAGGCACACCTGCGGCCAGACTTCATTTGAACTGCATCAGAAAAGGACCTAACAAGGTGAGAGCGTACCACAAAGTTATAGGCCTGTCAAGCAATTAGGTTTTCACTTCTGGGACATCCGCACAGTGCAATTATGCTACACATTACAACCTGGCTAATCTTCTGAACAAATGTCATGTCTCGGAGAAGCTAGTAAAAGCAGTTCATCTGCAAATGTGTCTGCTCTTAAGCCTCCACCTTATGCACATAACAACCTAGGGGAGACTTTTTTGTGATATGAAAGATGGTTTTTGCCATAGAAGATTTTTTAAACCCTGCAAGTGCCTTTTCATCCTTTTCACCTCTTCTTAACCTTTTTGAGAGGAGGTGTTGTAGCAAATAGACCAGAAAGACTTTTGTACTTGAATTTCGACACTAAGGAAGGAAATACTTGGTATTAAAAGCACGAGCGGTGGCTTTAGTTTGGTCTGATTCAAATATTGTTTGGCTAAAGGAATGTTTGTGGCGGAAAACCACCTATTACATCCTAGAAGCATCATTAGTAAAGCATATTTCCACCAGACCCCAAACAGAAATGTCATTCGTGCAAATAAACCTCAGCAGGAAGTAAATGTTTAATTCTTTTTATTTCAGATAGATACTGAGTGCGAGTGTCCTGGCGACAACACCCTAAACCAAAATCTGCACGGACGATAGGTGAGAGCTCTGCTAAGGAAGTCAGCCAGAACCTGCAGCGACAAGCAGCCTCCACCCCTTTATCAATTAAGATCTTCCCAACGTCCAATTCAAACCGGACAGAGGACAGAAAACCCCATCGGCCCTGCCGGCACCATTTTGCTTTACTCCAATAATTCTGTTTCGTTTTCATCTGTACTTCAGGTACGCGGTTAGCGTGTTCAATTAAGCCTACAGATGAGATCTTGCTATGCTACAAAATACAGAATTGTTAAGACATGACAAGCCTGCTCTACTTTCACGAGTAAAAAAGCTCGGATTTGGATCATTATCTGCGATTCTGCAGCTCTGTGGAAGAGAAGCTGTCCGCAGGGGCACAAGGCTGTTACAGGGTGGAGGCAGGAGAGAGCAGGGGAAGAGGAGACATTTGAAGTCAAATGGTAATTCTCATCCTTTACTCTATTACCCTTTAATTGGCTTTTTCCTAAGAAATATCTGACAACCACTTTGCATATCTCTTTTCTAGAGCCTAGTAAACAAAGGATTTAATACTCTTGTTATGAAAGGAAAAATCTTTCCTCTGTCAGAAAATCTTTGGCTTTAGCACCAATAAACTCTTTATTACTGCTAAACTTGGATTTGCTGCTCGATCGCAAAGAGGCGATAAAAACTCTAACCTGTCATTAGTGCATTATGCTTAATTGTGTACAGTATGTTTCCAGTTGCATCTGTTGGCCCATTATCAAAATGACCATTATGTACACTAATTCCCTGACCCTGTCTTTATTTCCCTAAAGAGTCATAATCTTTCACAGTAGGTATCAGAGTAAATCAAGCTTGAAATATGGGCTTTATTTACTTGTTTCTCCCAGGCAGAGTGGAAGACTGTAGCTAAAGACAAACTGCTGTAGATAAGTAGCAACTACGTTGTAATATTCTACTTGGAGAAAGGG